TTTGAAAAAGAGACCCATCATTTCACATGTCTCTACATATGATATAGAATAGAACATGGGGGTGTTTCTAATTCAACAGATTTCTATAAGTTTGCTCTGATGCCTACATTGAATTGAGGGCTCAAGACTATAGGAAGAAGAAACACTCATGAGATGCAACATGACTACTGGTTATTCTTACAAAAGAAACAAAATCCTCCTTATTATACTGATCATTTACTCAGTATATGATCAGTCATTTTACTTAATCTTCAACACATTTTTAATGTGAGAATTATTGCTCCCAGTTTAATGTAATAGAAAAAGAGATTTCTAACAAAATTCAATAGCATGCCCAAGTTCATCCAGGTAAAGGGATTGAGTCAGTACTGTCAATCAGTTCTATCCCATCACGTGCATATAATTTGATTCAGTGCATATAATAGAAAGAATTCTATTATATGCACTGAACCAAAGTGGCTTAGGATTTTATCACCTTTGACCCCAAGCCTGCCTGTTTCCATTATACATTAGATTTTTTGTCAATCTGAACACACATTCTATAACCACAGAAACCCTTCTGAATATATCTGATTGCTAAGTCTTTGCCAAAAGCTTTAGATTATTTTTTAAATGTCTACATATTTGTAACCTGCCTTAGCTACTCCTATGGCACAGGTCCTGGATGTTGGATCGGATATAAACATGTGTGACAAAAGCAGAATTGAGTGCCTTGTTATAGAATTCATTGTATTTTTCCTGCTACCTGAAAACTCAATAATGATGAGTTGGAGGTTTTAAAATTCTAAACGTTTATAATACGCATCCATATGCATGCTTTTCCTTAAAATAACTCAATGTACGGTTGAAAATGTGAAATCCAGAGAGTTGTAATCACTTACCTAAAATCCACAGCTAATATGTGTGGAGCCAGAAGGAAAACCCTGATTGTTTTTTTACTCCACGTGTAGGGCTTTGATTTCTTATTACAAAAAAAAAGAGGTATAATAGCAAATATAATGTAAATTATTTGATGCCCAACTCCATATTGAAATTGGAACTGCACATATATTATGAAGGTTCTACTTAGAATGACTATCCAAGCTGGTTCAGTGTCATTAAGGTTTCCCTTCCAGTTTGTAGGGGAGCCTGGCTGTGTCCACACAAGTGCCTGCAGCAAACTTCTGCCATGTTTCCACCCAGAAATGTCTTGCCCGGGTCAGGTATTAATAGCTGCCTCATTTTCAGATTCTGACTGCATAGCCCTGTTGGAATTATACTGAATGGAAAACTCCACTTGGCTTTTCATTGCTGATTAGGACCTGGATGCTGTGTAAGAAATCCCCCGTTTGTCAATGTAGTAGTCCAAAGCCCAGTTCCTACCTAATGCTGTTCCTGGTTCAGGACCCCAGGACTCCAGCTCCTGCGCAGTATCTCTGACTTTTACTGTTCCGGGAGGGACTTTTAAACGAGTATGAAACAAACCTAAGAGTCATTATTTATTAAATGAGAGTGTTGTTTTTCTCATGTATAAATGACAATGTAGTAATTATACATCACTGATATGGTTTCTATAATAATGACTAAGGCTTGCTCAAATCAAGCTTGGAGTCGAAAGCAGGACTGCCTATGCAGTAGGAAAGCAATGTGTGGCACTGGAAGAAGTACTGAACCAGCAGCGAGGAGCCCGCTGTTCAACACAGGGTCTGGATCTGCCTCTAACTTCCTGTGACACTGGGGACAAATATTTCACTATCATGAACTTTCATTACCTTGTTAAATAAAGGCGCCAAATTGTACTGTCACTAAGCAGCACTAAGCAGCTTTGTATCTATCTTCAAATGTACATGTTTCTGTGATGTACGTTCATAAGAAGGTTTTATCACTATCTACATATATGACGATATGTACTTACACAAAACAGGAATTATTTATTCCCTAACTTCTTTATAAAGTCTGAAATCTCACACATAGAATGTATTGCTTGAACTTTCCAGAGTTCCTTAGCATAGCATCTAGGGTTAATACTATGTTTGTTAGTATTGGACTAGATCTAGGAAAAAAAAAAAGAAAAGCTTTGGGATTACTTTAGTTTGTTTTTAAAAGAAAATGAACCTAAATCTGTACCTAAATTTAAGCATTTTAATAATACTTTATTAGTCCTAGAAGAAAACCAGAACTTAATATTATCACCTAAATTGAATCTGAATTAGTTTTATCCATTTTACTTGGCAGTGATTAAACTCTATCCTGGCAATATTGAGCCAAGGCCTTAAAAGAGCTGGTTTTCCTTCCCATGGGTTATCATGTAGCCCTGTGCTGCCAGGCAAGGAATGTGCAATAGTTTCGTTCCTTCCCTCACTTTCTTTAGTCACCTTGTTTATCTGATTTTCTTTTATTTGAGATATCAGTTGAATGCCATGTAATTTACATTTTTAAAGTTTATGCATGCTTTAGTGGTTTTTGGTACATTCAAAAAGTTTTGCAAACATCACCAGTATCTAATTCCAGAACATTTCATCCCTCCAACAAACAGTCACTCCACCCGTATATCCATCTCACCTCCTTCCCCAACCATTGATACTCACTACTCTACTCACTATCTCTGGATTTGCTTATTCTGGACATTTCATATAAATGGAATCATACAACATGTGGCCTTTTGTGTCTGGCTCCTGGCCCTTAACATAATGTGTATGAGGTTCATCCTTGTTGCCACATAAATCAGCATTTCATTCTCCTCTATAATTGAATGATATTACAATTGCATTCTGCAGAACTATCACACTATATTTATGCGTTCATCACTTGATAGATGTTTGGGTTGTTTCCACATTATGAATAATGTTACTATGAACATTTGTGCACAAGTTTTTGTGCAGACATGTTTTCATTACTCTTAGAACTAGACCTACAAGTGGAATTGTTGGATTGTGTGGCAACTGTGTGTTTCACCTTTTGAGGCACTGCCAACCTATTCTCCACAGCTTCTGCGTCATTTTACATTTCCATCAGCAATGTATGTGAGCTGCAGCTTTTCCACATCCTCACAAACACTTTACAATGTCCATTTTTCAATTATAGCCGTTACAGTGGATGTGAAGTAGTATCTCATGGTCATTTGTTTCTTTGATTCTTAAGCTGGTAGTTCACTTACTTAAAACTGAAAGTACTCTAAGAAATCACATTTCAGTATTAATATAAACATAGTATTAATTTATTGCTACTCTTATTATTTTAGTATCTACAATCACCTTTCTACTCCAATTTTCTCTGGGGAGTGTTTTCTTGGACTTTTTTGGGGGGGAGTGGGGATTGGATCAATTTCGTTCTGTCACCCAAGCTGGAGTGTGGAGTGTAATCTCTGTTCACTGCAACATCCACCTCCCCTGTTCAAGTCATCCTCCCACCTCAGCATCCTGAGTAGCTGGAAATACAGGCATCCGCCATCACACCCGGCTAATTTTTGCATTTTTAGTAGAGATGGGGTTTCACCATGTTGGCCAGGCTAGTCTCGAACTCCTGACCTCAAATGATCTGCCTACCTCAGCCTCCCAAAGTGCTGGCATTACAGAGGTAAGCTACTGCACCCCAGCCTACTCCAGTTTTCTTAGTCTCATTTTTCTTAATCTGTAATGTTAGAACTATTCAAAAATAAGCTGGGTGCAGTGTACACACCTGTAGTTCCTGCTACTTGGGAGGCTGATGTGGGAGGATCTTCTGGGCCCAGGAGTTTGAGGCCAGCTTAGGCAACATAGCAAGACTCCATCTCTTACAAAAAGAAAAAGAAAAAAAAAAGAAGAGAGAGAGCACTCTCTACAAATAAAGAGATTAGCATGGGAGTATCACCTATAAGGACATGGTTTCAACCAACCCTATTCCTCTATTCATTAATAACTTAATTTCACATTTGCTTGCATTAAATCATGGGGGTCTCACATTGAAATTCTTCCAGTACATGGAGAGGAAGATGATGACTATGGTGAATATGTCTGACATGTAGGACTCTTGTTTAATTCAGCTGAAGAAGATGCAATAGCATTTGTGTTTCTTCTGCTTATCTCAGAAGGGGAGAAATTTCTTCCTTCCACAAAATAGATTTTGTTCATGTGACATGTTAGGATATGATTTTATTGTATTGATTTTTAAATCTCATCATAAGTCACTAAACAAGACTCAGGCAGAAAAGGTGAGCCTGAGAGGCGGTGATTATGAAGCAATAAATGTGAGCTCTGGCATTGACTCAGTAGTTTTGTAAATGTATATTTGAATTAATCATATAACCTTTTGGTTTTCTCACTTACCAAATGTTGGAGTTGAAGTACAGGATCTTACGGTTTCTTCTGAGACTAAAACTCTCATTCTGTGTTTCACTGAGGTCAATAGTAATAGGAATTACTGTTAGTAATTTTCTTCAATATAATAGTAATTTTTTTCTATTACTTATTCCTGGGCTTTTTATCTGAGATTTTGATTACTAAGGAAAAAAATGTTTTAAGGAAATTAAAGAGGAAGTTACTGACATTAGGAAAAGTGGTGATTTTACTGACCAAGCTGTGGCTATGTAATATGTTTTTGTATATACAGAATAGTCTCTTCAAAAGCACCTTGTGTGCCTATGTTTGCTGTGGTTATATTTGATTTTGATTTCCAGGATAAATTTTAGTTCCTTATTTACATGTTAAGGGCGAGTAAATGAGGAATGGCCAATGACTTTAGTTTACAAAACATATTGCTAGGATCAGAGCGCAGACTTGGCCACAGTCCTGAATGATTTTCACCTAGCTTCAAGCCTGAGCAAATTGTTATCACTGGGGTAAAGGTTGGCTAGAAAGGAAATCATGTTTTTTTATTTTGTATGATGAATCTTTATAACCAAAGGATAATAGAAACTATGTGTCATTGCCTTTCATTTGTTCTTAACAGAGGACATGGATTTCAAGCTTATTGGATTTCAGCGTTTGCTGATTCACCTTTAAATCATTCCTCTTTTTTGTGTCTTTTTTTTTTTTTTCCTACAGGATGTTTTCACTCCAGAATGCAAATTTAAGGAATCTGTGTTTGAAAACTACTATGTGATCTATTCTTCCACACTGTACCGCCAGCAAGAATCAGGCCGAGCTTGGTTTCTGGGACTCAATAAAGAAGGTCAAATTATGAAGGGGAACAGAGTGAAGAAAACCAAGCCCTCATCACATTTTGTACCGAAACCTATTGAAGGTATGAAACCAACTGACTGTCTTTGTTGGACCGTTATTTGTGTGTTGACATCAATTCTGCTCCTTGCCCTTGTGCTCCAGAGAGTGTGCCTGGAATGTAACAGATCAGAAGAAGGATTCAAAACAAATATTCAGAAAACACAATAGTATCTTATTTATTTATTTATTTATTTATTGAGACAGAGTCTTGCTCTGTCACCCAGGCTGTAATGCAATGGTGCAATCTCGGCTCACTGCAACCTCCACCGGGATTCAAGCAATTCTCCTGCCTCAGCCTCCGTAGTAACTGGGAATTTCTTCCTATTAAAAAAAAAAAAAAGGAAAATTCTGTGACAAAGACTTGGCACTTGAAAAAATGCCTGAGTATAGAAGCTGGAAACATTTTGAAAGTAGAAAAGGAGTGGTAGTTACTATCTAGTATGTAATTTCCTCCTTTTCTAAACCTAATAATTTAATTTCTCAAGATCCACCCTTGAAAAACAAATGATAGTTTTATATTTACGGTATTACATTGCATCCTTCCCAGGTGAGCTTATCACCTTTCCGCTCATAATCATTTAATACTCTTACTCTGTTCATTTATTTCAAACTGACCATTAGAATAAACCTTTTTTTTTCTTTCCCCTGAGGAAACCGATTTTTATCCTCATTTTATAGATGAAGAAATGTAATTTAAAGTAATTAAGTAACCAGTCCAAGACTGGTTGCTAGATAACCAGGGCTAGATAAATACAGAACTGGGATTGCAGTCTAAGAACCCTAATGTCAATGCCTATGTACGTAACCTCTGCGATGTATTGCCCTTCAATCTGAAGTAAGCCTATGTATATGCAAATACTCAGAAAAGTCAGTGATAGCAAAGCAGAAATGTTATACTATGATGCAACTTGAATAGTAAACTAGTTTTAAACCATGCAAAATTGAGGCAGGTATACATGATATGATGAGAAACACTCATATTTGTAAACAATCAGAAAAAACAGCTAATGGAATGCCATATTCAAGCTAGCCAAGAAAGAATTAACAATGCATCACTTCTTTTCTGGTAAATTCTAACAAGTTTTATTTCCTACTCAGTAAAAAAATTTGGACTGGATGATTCCTAAAGTTCTCTGGCAATGACATTGTATGGCAGTCTTTATAAGCCCTTTACTGTAAAATCATGTTCTTTCATTGAACCTAGCATAGAATTTACATGTAAAAATGGTCTAAACATATTTTGTTTATCTAATTATTGAATAAACAAGTTAGAGCTTTATGAGCTATTTCCATTATTTGTGATTTTTTTTTAAAATGAGGGAATAGGATGAAAGGCATCCTAGCTATAACTTATCTTTAAATAGATTTTAGGCCAGACACGGCGGCTCACACCTGTATTCCCAGCAATTTGGGAAGTCGAGGCAGGTGAATCACTTGAGGCCAGGAGTTCAAGGCCAGCCTGGCCAACGTGACAAAACCTCGTCACTACTAAAAAATACGAAAATTAGCCAGGTATGGTGGTACACACCTGCAATCCCCACTACTTGGGAGGCTGAGGCAGGAGAATCCCTTTCAACCCAGGGAGGCAGATTTTGCCAGGAGTTGAGATTGTGCCACTGCTCTCCAGCCTTGGCAACAGAGAAAGACTCTGTCCCAAAAATAAGTGAATAAATAAATAAATAAAGTTTTTGATAATATTTTTCCATAGGGCAGGTATAAAGCACATAACTAGATGATACTTCTAGGAAACGATTAGAAAATGATAGCTCCATAAGAGATTAGCTACCTTGCTGCTAATAGGTTCACCAAAAAAATTATTGACTATTTTATTTGTAATGTTTAAAGGCATTTTTGTAACCCTGTAAGCCCAGTGCTAATACTGTCAGCATCCTAACAGAGTCCAGACTGCACGGTAAATGAGCCCTTCGTTTGTGAGGGGAATTGACCTCTGATGGAGGAAAAGCCAAAGTAGGTTTTTTTTAGTTTTGGGTTTTGCTTTTTTGTTTGTTTGTTTGTTTACTGCTTATTTGTTTTTCAAATATGTCTGCCTTTATACCAGTCCTGCTGGTGTTTTCTTCTGAATGTCAGGATTCCCAAAATTAAGCTCTGCCAGTTTGAGGGTGGTTAAGTCCTACACTGATAACACAATAATAATTACCCACCAGCCCATTTCCCTTCACTCTTTCACATCTCATCCTGTGTTTAGAGAACAGGAGTGTTAATGAGGGGTTTCAGGGTCACCTATTCTGATAGACTGACTTGATATTTAAGCACATTACTATGTACATTGCACATAAACCTCTACTTACATGGGTCCCCTCCCCTGGCATTTTGGACAACAGCACAGGCTTCCTGATTCTCAATTCTGCCCTTTCAGAGTATTGTTCAAAGCACAGATAAGTAACTCCCCCAGATGTAAAGTGTTTTAGTTGTGACCTCCCCCTTTAGCATTAGATACAGCAGCCAAATACTCTGACAAAGAACAAAATACAGTCTTCTCCTTTTCTCCTCCCTCCTCCTTCAAGAAGCACATTACTCAGCTCCTGCAGGTGACTGAGTATTCAGGATCTGGTTCTTACCTTCCGGAAAAAAAAAAAAAAATCTGTGTACTTTGCAAAGATTTAAGCTTCAAGAGCTGAGTCCCGGAGAGATAAATATATCTGCAAATAAGATCACTAAGGATCAATTGAGAGCCATCTGTAGAGAAGTATTAAACTTGGAATAAAGGAATATTGATTTATTTCTCCTAATTTATTTTGTAGTGGGGAGACAGTGCTAACACGCACACACACACACACATACGCACACACACTTGGGCATATACATGTTATCCATTTTCTTTGTTAGAACTGGTGCTTTAAGCTCATAGAATCTGATTTAAGTCTCAGAAGAATGTAAACTGCTGTTTCCCAAACATCAGTATCAGAACCATCTGTAGTGTTCTTAGAAGCTAACAGCTTCTCGCCGGGCGCGGTGGCTCACGCCTGTAATCCCAGCACTTTGGGAGGCCGAGGCGGGCGGATCACAAGGTCAGGAGATCGAGACCACAGTGAAACCCCGTCTCTACTAAAAATAGAAAAAATTAGCCGGGCGCAGGGGCGGGCGCCTGTAGTCCCAGCTACTCGGGAGGCTGAGGCAGGAGAATGGCGTGAACCCGGGAGGCGGAGCTTGCAGTGAGCCGAGATTGCGCCACTGCACTCCAGCCTGGGCGACAGAGCGAGACTCCGTCTCAAAAAAAAAAAAAAAAAAAAAAAGAAGCTAACAGCTTCTCAAACCAAATCTCCAAAGTGATCTGATGTGTTAAACCTAGGTATGACCTAGGACTCTATAGGTTTAAAACCCTGTCCGGGTGATTTCTGATGGCATTGAGTTTGAGATGTGGTGTTCTGAATTTGGTGTTTCTAAGCTCCTTTTGGTCAAATCTGGCCATGGATGATTTAAATTTATTCATATCATTGTGATCAATATATTGGACTAAATCTAATGTAATATAAATTGTCTCTTTGACATGAAATTTAGTATATTATGTATGTTACATTTTTACATTCCCTACTACTATTAAGACAGGTATATTTTAGTGCAGGGTTAAATTACTATATGAAGTTAGTAGAGGTAGTACCAATTATTTTATTAAAGTGACCTTCTAGAGCAACCCAATGAAAATCAAGTAACCAAGAATACAGAAGTGTCTAATTCTTTGAGTCAAAATTTGGCAATGATTTGCTAAGCAATTTTTGTTTGAATGAAAGCAAGTGTGTTAGAGAAGTCAAGAAACAGAATGGCTACTCCATAGGCAGAGCAGCCTTGCTAAGTAATTTTGAGAAAATAATTTATCTCCTTCCACCTCAGTCATCTCTGAAGATAAAGTCTATTACAAATTCCACCTGCTTCTAAGGAATAATATGAAAATTAGACATTGTAGAAAGTTGGATTTCTCAAGAGAATTCCATCAGATCAAACATGAAGTGCCTTTTTCATTTTATCTTAGAAAATAGACATTATCTTATTGTGTTTTGTATTGGAAAAATGCTGTGAGATGTGGCATTGCGTTAGAAATTAAAGGCAATGAAAATGGAATCTGGAAGGAAAATAATAATCCCTTCAAAACTACATAATAAGACACCAAAGAACAGAGCAAATCAGGAGTCCTGATGTTATAAAGCTCCAACTGGTAGGACACTAATGCCAAATTTGGTATTTTTATTTCAATAAACTGGAAATAGAAATAAATGTCTTGGTTCTCTTTTGGACCCAACCATACTAAAAGACAAAAGCAGAAAGATGGAGCAAAAAAGAACCTCTCTGCCAGTAATTGTTTTAATTACAGAAAGGATAATAGCTGCAACTCTTTCTTTTGCGTTTTGGATTTCTGCCAGCCTGTGATACTCCTGCAAACCATTGTAACTTTTTCAAACTAGCTTTTTCTGGTTTTTGAATGTAGTCTTTAATACAACCCTCCTACCTCTTCCCCACACATTCTTCCTCTTTCTCTCTCTCTGTTCCTCATGCAAATATTGCTTTTTCTTTCTTTCTAAATGAACATATAGATGCTTTTGTTCACAACATCTCTTAACTCATTATAGTAAATATGTATAGCACAGTGAATGCATTTCTAAGGCAATGCATTTCTTCCAAACCAGCACTTAAAATTCTCCTACAGTTCCAAAAGGATTCCATGTAACATTAATTAAGGTGTGAAATTGCTTTATTTAAATTACCCACACCCTTCTATGATCTGCTATTAAGACAATTAAATACCTTCAATGGTGCATTAACTAACACAGCAGTGTAACCTTTTAGCTTCTTGGAAATTACAGAGGACCAAGGAAAATTCAATTAAATTTGTAGTAATAAAATGATTAATCATATTTAACTTGTCTTTGATGGTAACTAGTAGTCGATGGGGGTTTTTTATAGAGTTTAAAATTTTAGTTTCATTAAAAACAGAAGTTAAATTGTTTTTATTTGGAAAACAGAATTTGTCAGAACAACTACAGTGTTCCCACACACAGACTGTTCAAC